ATCTAGCTTTGCTGAGCTATCAGCAAAAGCTCCCTGCAGGCTTGGCGGGGCGGTCCACGGGATCAACAGGGCGGGTTGGCAATTATGGCTGCTCTCAGTCTTGCCCTCAGAGGCTCTGCTTCTCAGTGTCCCAGTAATCGCTGCAAGCCCCTCGGAGAGAAAGCTGCCCTAGGGTTCTGACCGATGCCAGACAGTCCCACTTCTCCCGTATGAGTCTGGGTCCCTAGAGACTCGCCCGGAACTGGAGCTCAGAGCCTGAGACTCCCTCCCGATTGAAAACGACAACCGCGCCCTCAGCCGCCAGCCGGCTCCGCATGCACCTCCGCACCTTAGTATTTTACTTCCGCACTGCGCCTCCTCTGAGTCTGGGTATGCTTTTCTTTCCTTCTAGTTGTAGAATTTCCACTCAGCCAGCCTTCCTGTGGTTCTGGGTGATGTCCGTTCCGTCTTTTAGTTGTATTTTTGAAGTGGTTGTTCGAGGCAGCAAACTCTGGTGTTTACCTATGCCGCCATCTTGGGTGTCCTCTTAGCCTTTCTTATATTTAATATATCCCAAATATTTCTCAAAGAGCTGCTACATGGCACCAGTTAATGTATTCCCTTCCACCAGCACCATCCCAGTTCGGTAAAAGCTGTAACAATTTCTTTGCCACGTATCTATTCCAGGTGCCTATCTACTCCACCTACCACCAATGATGGAGTCCTCATTGCAGCAGGTGATCTATATGCAAATTTTCATCACAATGTATGCTTTCCTCAACTGCTTCTCATACCAACTGCTATAGACTGGCTTCCTGGAGAGCAGACCCAGAGACAGAGTACAGCATGAAGGGTTTTTATTAGGTAATGCTCTTGAGATCACCACCTGTAGAAGGGAAAAGAAAGGAAGTAGGATTGGACAGAGGGAGAAATTAAGCTATGCCATTTAGAGCAAGAAGGCCATGTCAATCAGTCATTGCGTGTGAAATACCCCAGGAAGGGGGTATAACCTTGGTGGAGGTGACTCTCCAACTGAGGCAATTCCTGAAGAGGGCTGACAGCTGAGGGATGTCTGCTGGCATCACTCCTAGCAACTAAAATAATAAGCTCTTTATTCCTGAAGGGAGATTAAGGCAACAGATTGCACAATCAACAAGTGTGATATATTTTTTTCCATTAGAAAGTTGGTTGCCATCAGATGCTAGAATTGAGAATAGTTTTACTTTTAAAATGATTAACATTACTTAAATTTTCAAACATTTACAGCTTTTTAAAAATAATATTTATTTAACAGTTTAATTTGTACCTTCTAAATATTTAGACACAAATATGTGAACCTCCATTTATATTTCTGATCTAGGTCCCTAAAATTCTATTTATAGTTCTCCTTAACCTGAATCCATGAGTTTCCTTTTAGAAAATTATGTAAAAAATCCCGGTTTATTATATGAAAGTCAGAAAATACAGATGAGTTAAAAACCAATAAAATCACCCATCACTCTAACACCCATAGGCAACTATTAATATCCTCAGAGTATACATCAGAATTTTTACATAGAGATCATTTAAATATATACTTTTATTCATTAAAAAGTATATGTGCTTATGCAGCCTATTTTTCCCACTTAAGATTATATGCTGAATTTTTTCCAAGTAAATAAGTGTAGGTGTTCATCAACATTGTCAAGACTTGCATGATGTTTCAATGTGTGGACATACCCTAATTTGTTTAGCCAAGTGCCTATTTTGAGACACTTGACCATTCACAGTTTTTCACACTTCAAAACTGGGTGAAGTCTTATGCAAGCCAATTATTTGATTACTAGAGGTCCAGTGCATGAAATTCATGCACATGGGGGGGTGTCCCTCAGCCTGGCCTGCACCCTCTCCAATCTGTGACCCCTCATGGGATGTCCAACTGCCGGTTTAGGCACAATCCCTGTAGCCCGATTGTCCCTAACTGCCCTCCCCTGCCAGCCTTATTGCCCCCAACTGCCCTCCCCTGCAGGCCTGATCAATCCCAAGTGCCCTCCCCTGACAACCTGATCGCCCCCAACTGCCCCCCTTGCTGGCCTGACCACCCCCAACTGCCCTCCCCTGCTGGTCTGATTGCCCCCTAACTGCTCTCCCATGCCGGCCTGATTGCACCCCTAACTGCTTGCTCCCCTGCTGGCCTGATCTCTCCTAACTGCCTCTCCCTCAGTCCCCGCCACCATGGCTTTGTCTAGAAGGAAGTCGGACATCCAGAAGATGTCCGGTCAACCCAGTCTAATTAGCATATTACCCTTTTATTAGTATAGATTTCCTAAGGATAAATTTCTACCAGTAGAATTACTGTGTCAAAGAGCATGTACATCTTTTTTGTCTTTTTAAAAACATATTTTTATTGATTTCAGAGACAGAGGAAGGGAGAGTGAGAGATAGAAACACCAATGATGAAAGAGAATCATCAATTGGCTGCCTCCTGCATGCCCCCTACTAGGAATCAAGCCTGAAACCCAGGCATGTGCCCTGACTGGGAGTCGAACTGTGACCTCCTGGTTCATAGGTCAACACTCAAACACTGAGCTATGCTAGCTGGGCCAGCAAGTACATCTTGAAGGCTTCTGAAACATGTGTCCAAGTGGACCTTGTACCAGTGTATGTTCCCACCAGCACACTTTGAGAGTGCCCCTCCCCCCACACCCTTACCACTCTCTAGGTTGGGAGAGAGGTGGATAGTCTTCAATATGAATGTCAACAGCTCTCTCAATGGTTCCATAAAGGCCCTGCCTCAACCAACCTTATAAAATAAATCTGATAGAAGCACTAAAAATTATTCTTTCTTATTATATATGTATAATTTTAAAGATATGTTTTCTTATTTCAAAATAGTAACTAGCCCTGGCTCAGTGGTTAGAGTGTCAGCCCTCCCACCAAAGTGTCTCCGGTTCGATTCCTGGTCAAGGGCATGTACCTGGGTTGCAGGTTCCATCCCTGGCCCCAGTCAGGGAGGCACCTGGTCGATGTGTTTCTCTCACATTGACGTTCTGCCCTCTCTCCCCCGCCCTCCCTCCCTTCCAAAAAGAAAGGAAAAAATATAGTAACTAATGTATTCACTTATAAAGATAACAAGGTTGGTCAAGAAAGAGTTCATTTTCCTATCAAATGCCTCAAGACTCTAAAATAAAATTGTCCCTCCCTGTAGTCCCCAGAATAGGTCCCAGCACTTCTTCGTTCAAAGGGTCTCTCACTTGCTTCCTCTCATCCTTCCCATGACCAGCAGTGACATTTCAGACTTTCATCATCTTGTACTTGGACTATGGTGGTAACTTCCTAACTGATGTTCCAATCTTCGGTGGCTGCTCCTGTCCCCTCCCCAACTCAGACCCATCCTGCACCAAAACAGCCACGTTATTTCCTTTCATCCTGTCATTCCCAGGGTCATGAAAGGCTTTCGTGTCATTCAGGGTTGGATGGAGTAATATGCAAACACCTCAGTGTAGCAATCAGGGACCCTCCATGAATGCGACTCACTCCCACTGCTCAACTATATTTCTCACCACTCCCTCTTCCACACTTTGTACTCAGGCAGGCCAGCCTTCTCTCTGGAGCAGCATTCCCACCTCCATGCCTTTCTTCCCACCATTCCTTCCTTCTCCAATGCTCTTCTGTCCTGTTTTTATCCTATCCTTTAAGCCCAGCTTACTTAAGCATCCTCTCCTCTGTAAAACTTTGCCTAAGCACTGTTACCTACAGAACTTTCTGCCCTGATGGGGACAGTCTGACCGAAGGGTCTGACCATGATCAGAGACACCTAGTTTTGTTACTATCATTTTGTTTCGGTACTTCTTGCCTTTCCAAATAGATCACAAACTCAAGGAAAAAGACATGTCTTTTTACTGCTTCAAGCACACAACTTTATTGATGACAAAAATAAAGTCTCAAATGTATAAACATAAGTCCACACAAAGGACCAAAGATTACCTTACTTATGAAGAATTGGCTTAGTTTCTGCTCATGAAGCATACTAAAAACATCTCGATCTAGACAAGGTAAAAAGCAACACATGTATTTTCAGTACAAGTTTGAATTAATCTGGTGTTCATAAAGTGGTCCAGCAACAAACCATCATAAATAACATCAGTATCAAAGTTAAAATGCAATTTACAAAGTGTATTACCCCCAGGATGCAAAACCAAAATATTACTCAGATTTGTTTGGAAACATACAACTAATTAAAGTTTACTTAATAATAACTCAACTCTTTTTTTGACCTCAGGGTCTTTGTATTCTGCTGCTAAGACTCGAAGTTTCTTGGCACATGCTTTAGGTCGTTGGAATACAAAGTAAAGGGAATTTTTACTGAAACTGTCCTGGGTAAATACTCTTGCTCTTCTTTTAAAATGGTCATTTATATTTTCAAATAGTAAAAGAGCATTAATAATATTCTCTTTTGCCTCTTTCTTGCTAAAAATATTAATTATTGATGTTGGTGCACTGGCTATGAGCAAATCTTTTGTCATAGATGGATTTTTAGAGAAATTCAAAAGCATACCCAAAATATGTTCTTTCGTTTCTCTACCTCCCACAGTTAACAAACGAAGAAATTCTGAAATATAATTTGTAACCATATGCTGATATTCACTAATTATAGTCAGGTGCCTTATCAATCTTAGTCCAGCCAGCTGCACATTGAATTCAAGGGATAGGTGACGGTATCTTCACATACTTGATTTAAGTATGTTTTAACCTTCCTATGATCTTCAGCAGCCACCGAGATGTTATTTAGTGCATTTAAAGCCTTCTGCCTAACACTGGGGTGGGGATTATTGAGCAAAATTTCAATAATTGAGATTCCACCTCGCTTTATGAATGACTTCATGGGAAAACGGATAATCGGGACTGTTAAATAGAGCATTATTGGCTATTTCATGAATAGAAGGTTCTTCAGTCATCTCAATCATGCAAATGAGTTTTTCAAGCTCTCGTGGATCCATGTTAGTTTTGTGTTTACAGTGGAAAGGCCAGGGCTGAGCTTTCGCCCCGGACCTGATCTGCTTTCTGAGGCCATCTTCAGGTAGTAAGCAGGGTTCATTTTGGTATGGATATTTCATTTCCGTCCAGATCATGGTTTCTGCCCATGATCCCATTCCTGCCCCAGGAACCATGGACGGATATGTGCCTCTAGACTCAGATGATTTTTTAGTCTTAGGTGCAGATTTGTTTCCACTTCTGTTTTCATTACTATCCCTGAACCAAGACCTTATATCAACTCCACCAGCAGCCTCAAGCTTATCCTTGTCTCCAGCCCCACACTCAAAACTGACATTTTTCTCACTCTTGGATATGCACTCATTGTTCTCACTCTCAGTCCAAAACAAGGATCTTAAACTGATCTCCTCAATATCAGGGCTAGACGCTCTACTTAGTTCATCTTCATCTATATCCTCAGCCAAAGTCCAGGACCTCATGCCAGGCCCTTCCCCAGCCCCAAGCCTAGACCCTGAAGTGGTTGTATCTTCATCCCAGAGCCAAGACTCTTTCCTGGCCTCAGCCCCCACAAAGGAATCCATAAAGGCCTCCTCTTCAGATCTACTCCAGGACCCAATACTGGCCTTGTCCTCATCCTCAAATATGGAACTAATGATAATCTCTTCCTCAGTCACTGATCTGGATTCAATACTGGGTTCATTTTTATATCCAGATCTGGACACAATACCAGCCTCTTCCCCTCTCCAAAACCAGGATCCTGTACTAGCTTCAATCCCAGCCCCAAGCCAGTATCCTTCATTGTCCTCCACCCCAGCACTGACCTGGGACCTTCCACTGGCCTGGTCCCTAGTCCTAGCCCAGGACCCCCCACTTGTCTGACTTTCAGGTCCCAGACTAGACCCAGCCCAGGATTTTCTACCAGCTTGATTCCTAGTGCCAGCTCGGAAGCCTCCTCCACTGGCCTGACCCTCAAATTCAGGTTTGGAACAGCTACCTGCCTGATCTCCAGCCCCAACCCAGGACCTTCCACTAGCTTCCTTTCCAGTGCCAGCCCAGGACTGAACATTGGACTGGTCCACAAGCCCTGGCCTAGACCCTCCATCAGCCTGTTCCCCAGTCGTAGCCCAGGACCCACTCCTGGACTGGTCCACAGGCCCCAGCGTGGACACTCCACTGGCTTGATCTGCAGTGTCAGCCCAGGGTCTTTCACTGGACTGGTCCTCAGACCCCAACCTAGACCTTCCACTGCCCTGGTCACCAGCCTCAGCCCAGGATATATTTTCACTAGCCTGATTATCAGGCTTGGATCTACCACCAAGTGGATCGCCAGTCCCAACCCAGGACTCTCCAATAGCCTTGTCCACAGTGCCAGCCCAGTCGCCAATACTAGCCACATTTCTAGCCCTAGTCTCAGTCCAGGAACCTCCATTTGCCTGAATCCTATCCCCATCCAGGGACCTTCCACTAGCCTGCTTTTGAACTCCAGGCCAGGACCCTCCATTGGCCTTGTTCTCAGCCACTGTCCAGGACCCTCCAATTGCCTCTTCCCCAACCCAGGACACCTCACTGGCTTGGCCCCCAGCCTGGGAACCCTCACTAATCTGATCTCCAGTCCAGGGTTCCCCAATAACCTTGTCCTTAGTGCCAACCCAAGACCCTCCGCTGACCTGGTTCTCAGCCCCAGTCCGGGACCTTCTAATGGCCTTGTTCCTAGTCCAGAGATCCCCACTGGCCTGGTCCTCAGATCTATCCCAGGATTCAATACCAACCTTATTCTCATCCCTAGCCCAAGGCCAGGACTTAATGCCAGCCTCATCACAAGCCCCAGCCCAGGACCTAATACCAGACTTATCACTAGCCCTGCTCCAGGACTCAATACTGGCTTCATTCTCATCATCAACCCAAGACATGCTATTCTCCCAGTATCCGTCCTTGGCCTGAAACCTAAATTTGATCCATCGCTCAGAGGCAATCCAATCTTCAATACCAATTTCATTCCAATAATAGTCATGGACTTTAGGCTGTGTCTTTCCACAGGCCAGAGTACCTGTCCCACCTTCACTGTCAGAAGTGAGCATGGCCTTAGGCTTGGGATTTTTATAGACAGCACCTTCTTCTGTGGTTTCTGTCTTAGATTTGGGTATAGCTTTGTCCTTTGCACCAAGCAACATCTTACTCTGGGAAAGGGCCATGGACTGAGGCTGGCCAGAGACCATTGTATCTTTTCTGGCCTTTACCTTAGATTCAGCATTGGTATTGCACTTGACCTTACTCCTAGCACCAAGCAAGGCCTCACCATGGGAACTGTCTGAAACCTGGGGCGGAGAAGAGCTTGTTGTATCTGCTCCAGCCTTTAACTTGGACACAGTATTGGAATTGCCCCTGACCTTATTCTTAGCACCAAGTAAGGCCTCACCCCAAGAATTAGCCACAGCTTGGGGCTGGGCAGAGCTGGTTGCATCTGCTCTGGCCTCTGCTTTAGACACAGTATTGGGATTATTATCCCTGACCTTATTCTTAGTAACACACAGGGCCTCACCCTGTGAATTGGTCACAGCTTGGGGCTGGACAGAGTCCATTGCATCTGGCCCAGCCCCTGCCTTAGATGCAGCATTGGCATTGCCCTTGACCTTATTCCTAGTAACAGGTAAGGATTCACCTTGGGAATTAAACACAGCCTGGGGCTGGACAGAGCCTGTTGCATCTGTTTGGTCCTCTGCCTTAGACACAGTATTGGGATTATCCTTGACCTTATTCTTAGTATCAGGTAAGACCTCACCCTGAGAATTAGTCATAGTCTGGAGCTGGTCAGGGCTAGTTGTATCTGGCCCACCTCCTGCCTTAGATGCAGCATTGGCATTGCCCTTGACCTTATTCTTGGCACCAGGCAAGGCCTCACCCCAAGAATTAGCCACAGCTTGGGGCTGGACAGAGCCCATTGCATCTGGCCCAGGCCCTGCCTTAGACACAGCACTAGGATTGCCCTTGACTTCATTCGTGGTACCAGGCAATAACTCACCTTGGGAATTAGATACAACCTGGGGCTGGGCAGAGCTGGTTGCATCTGCTCTGGCCTCTGCTTTAGACTCAGTATTGGGATTATCCCTGACCTTATTCTTAGTAACACACAGGGCCTCACCCTGTGAATTGGTCACAGCTTGGGGCTGGACAGAGTCCATTGCATCTGGCCCAGCCCCTGCCTTAGATGCAGCATTGGCATTGCCCTTGACCTTATTCCTAGTAACAGGTAAGGATTCACCTTGGGAATTAAACACAGCCTGGGGCTGGACAGAGCCTGTTGCATCTGTTTGGTCCTCTGCCTTAGACACAGTATTGGGATTATCCTTGACCTTATTCTTAGTATCAGGTAAGACCTCACCCTGAGAATTAGTCATAGTCTGGAGCTGGTCAGAGCCCGTTGTATTTGGCCCAGCCCCTGCCTTAGATGCAGCATTGGCATTGCCCTTGACCTTATTCCTAGTAACAGGTAAGGATTCACCTTGGGAATTAAACACAGCCTGGGGCTGGACAGAGCCTGTTGCATCTGTTTGGTCCTCTGCCTTAGACACAGCATTGGGATTATCCCTGACCTTATTCTTAGTACCAGGTAAGACCTCACCCTGAGAATTAGTCATAGTCTGGAACTGGTCAGAGCCAGTTGTATCTGGCCCACCTCCTGCCTTAGATGCAGCATTAGCATTGCCCTTGACCTTATTCTTGTCACCAGGCAAGGCCTCACCCTGAGAAATGGCCATACCCAGGGGTGGGGCAGGGCCCTTTGCATCTGGCACAGCCCCTGTTACAGACACAGCATTGGAATTGCCCTTGATCTTATTCTTAGTACTAGATAAGGCCTCACCCAGGGAACTCACTACAGCCTGGTGCTGAACAGAGTCTGTTTTATCTGGTTCAGCTCCTGCCTTAGACACAACATTGGGTTTGCCTCTGACCTTATTCCTGGCACCGGGCAAGGCTTCACCTTGAGAATTTGACACAACCTGTGACTGGACAGAGTCCATTATATCTGCTCCAGTCTCTGCCTTAGACACAGCATTGGGATTGCCCTGGAGCTTATTCTTGGCACTAGGCAAGGCCTCCTCTTGGGAATTGGTCACAGCCTGGGGTTGGGCCGAGCCAACTGCATCTAATCCAGCCCCTGACTTAGACACAGCATTAGGTTTGCGCCTGTCCTTATTCCTGGCACCAAGCAAGGCTTTGCCTTGGGAATTTGAAAGAGCCTGGGTCTGTGCAGAACCTGTTGTATCTGCTCCAGTCTCTGTCTTAGACACAGCATTGGGATTTCCCCTGACCTTATTATTGGCACCAGGTAAGGCCTCACCCTGAGAATTGGCCACAGCCTGTGGCCAAGCAGATTGCGTTATATCTGTTTGAGGCTGGACAGATCCATTTGTGCCTGGCTCAGCCCCTACATTAGACACACCTTTGGGATTACCCTGGAACTTATTCTGGATACCAGACAAGGCTTCATCCTGGGTATTGGCCATAGCCTGAGGCTGACCACAGGGCCTCATTTCTGCCTTAGCCCCTGCCATAGAAATGGCATCAGGGTCTCCTCTGTCATCAGCTTGGGACTTGGCCCCACCCTGAGGCTGTGCATAGGTTTTCGTGTCTGTCCTGACCCTGGCCTTTCTTTTGCCTTTGGCTTTGCCCCTAGCCTTAGTTCTAGTACTAGGTAAGGCTTCAGCCTGGCTTGTGGCAAAAGCCTGAGACTGTGCCTTTGTGTCTGTCCCAGCCCCTTCCTTAGACATTGTGTTGGCATTGCCTTTAGCATTAATCTTACCATCAGGCAAGGCATCTCCTGGGACACTGGCCACAGATTGAGGTTGTATACAGGACAACATATCTGTTCCAACCCCTAACTTAGAAATGGCATTGGGATTACCCCTGGTCTGAACTCTGGAATCAGGCAAAGCCTCAACCTGAGAATTGACCTTCAGGTTTGCCTTGGCCCCCATTTTAGACATGGCATTAGAATTGTCTCTATCCTTAACCCTGGCATCAGGCATAGTCTTAGGCTGAGAAACAGTCTCCATGTGAGCTCCAGTCACTGCCCTAGTTGTGACATTGGTATTTCCCCTTTCATCAACCCTGGCATCAGACATTGCCTCAACCTGTTTCTTGGTCATAGTCTGATGTTGTGTAGAAGCTCTCATATCTATCTCTGTTCCTGCCTTGTACATGGCATTGGTATTACCCCCAGCATCAACCCTTACCCCAGTCATGGTCTCAGCCTGAACCTTGGTTATAATCTGAGATTGGGCAGAAGTCTTCATGTCTTCCCCAGACTCTGCTTGATACATAATTTTGCAATTTCCCTTGTCTTCAAGCCCAGCACAAGGCATCTCATCAACCTGGATCTTGGCCACAGCCTGAGATGGTGCATAAGACCTTATATCCATTCCAGCTCCTGCCCTAGACATGGTATTAAGATTTCCCTTAGCATCAACTGTGGTACCACACCTTGCCTCAGACTGAGTCTTGGCCACATTCATAGTCTCTTCCAGGGCTCTTGCTTTGGTCTCAGCCACAATTCCAGTCTTGTTTATGGCATTCATCTTGGCTACTTCCCTGGTTATTGCCAAGGCCTCATTCTGTGTCACCAGTACTCTGTTCATCTCTGTCTCTTTTTCAGCAAATATATGAGCTTCCACTTTGGTCTGGGTCATTGCTTCTTTCTTGGCCTCTGCCCTGGCAAATAGTCCACAAGCTTTAGCTTTGGTCTGGGTCACTGCTTCTTTCTTGACTACTCTCTCAGCCTCAGAGTCAGTTTGAGTCACTGCCTCTTTCATGGCCATTTCCTTGGCTTTGACTTTGGTTTCAGCCAGAGTCACTGCCTCTGTCATAGCCATTGTTTTGACCTCAGATTGGACCTCTGCCTCTGCCCCAACCATTGCCTTGGCCTGAGAGTTGGCTTTGGGTCTGCCTCTAGCAGTGGCCTCCATCTCTATATCAGCCCCAGCCCCACCTCCTGTTCCAGTTTCTGCTCCAGTCTTGACCTTGGATCTAGTCTCAATCTCTGTCCCATCCATGGCTTCACTCGTAGCCAAGGTCTGGGTCTGTACACCAGCCACAGTTTCCATCTTGACTCTAGACCCATTGCTGGCAAGTCTCCTCATACTCTGGGCTCTTCCTGTGGTTAATCTATAAATGTAATAGCAGGTACCAGCCCAGATCACCAGTCCTGCAGTCACCCAGCCTACTTCCTGAATGCGACCCATGTAATCACCCCTGCTGATGCCACAAATAAGGTAGGGGGGATCAGAAGGGCTGGGGAAAGAGTGCGATAGGTCTGTAAGGGTGCTGGTCTTCAGCTCAAAGGCCACTACAGCTGTCACTGGAGGTGGACCTAGAAGTGGAGGAAGGAAATGGACTAAAATTTCTCTTCTAATTCTGTGCATCATACAGACAGATACACAGAAGGACAGGAAAGTGTAGAAATAATGTGCTTAGTTGGAGAAGAGAAGCATTAGCAAACTCTCTCTCCATCCCCCCCTTTTTTATCACCTCCCCATTTTCCCTAGTACCCAACAATTTTCCCCAAGGTACTTTCATAGACATTTCCTTACACCAAATAAATAGTGGAAAAGAATGGTGGGAGGGCTGACTATGAGTGGGAGAGACTGAGAAGCTCTCAGACCTTGATTTTTTACTGGACCTACTCTGTCACCACTCCCACAGGTCCCTATCCCCATACCAACCTGTATTGATCCAAAGCAGTTCCCTCCTCTTTCCTTCTCTTGATTTGTGATACACCCGAAAGTAGGTCTATATACTCATGAGATCTATGGACCTAGAGACAGACAGACAGAAAGACAGATGGAAGGACAGATGGGAGTTGAGATTTTGCTCTTCATGTGACTGACATATTATTAGCAAACTATCTCCCTCAGTTCACCCCATTCCCTGTATCAAAATTAAAGTGAGGGTGTGGGGTAAGTGACAGGAAAGGTGGGAAAGTTGCCTGGAAAGGGGAGAGACTGAGGATCCTCCAGACTTGACACTGGACCTACTGGATACACAATGGTTTCTACCAACCCACCCTGGAGGTCTACCCAGGCAGACCTTTCTCTTACCAGTCTCTACTGATCAGGGGCAATTTCCTCCTTGTTTCTTTGCTTCCAGTCATCTCAAGCCCTGCAGCAAACCTGCAGGTAGATCTATGAATAAATAAACAAACAGGCGGTAATAGAGACTGAATCCTTCATAGAACACACAAGCACCCTGGTCCCTGACCCCAGTACCTGCCTTGCCAGAGAGCTTGGGTCCAGTTGGCTAATGTGTCCCATTTTATGGTCCCCCCTCTCCTCTTCTTTCAGTCATACTCCAGCCCACCTTTACCCCAATATCCCAAAATGTTTCCTGCACTGAAATCAATATGGGGTGTGGCAACACTGTGGAAATCTGGCAGATTGTAGGAGAAGCAGAAGTGCCATCTACTGAGACCCCCTCAAGTACCAGCCACATTCTGTTCCCACCCTCTCAGACACTGCCCACCATCACACCAACCTCCACAGTTCTAGACAAGTCTCCCCCTCTCCCTTGTTTCCAGTGGTAAACAGCCCTACTGCAGATGTATGGGAAGATCTAGGAACAAAGAGAAAAAAGGGGAAGGTGAATGTTGAGTGCTTGTGGCATTTCAGTAATTAAGACACAGGTCTCAGTAACCCCTCTTATTGGATTTAGAGACCCATTCCCTAGCAGGCAAAACCTTGGGCCTCCCCAGTACTGAAGTAGGAAGGGTGAGAAAGGGAGGCAGGAAAAAATAAAAGGGGAGTGGCATGGGCAAAATCTTTTTAAAAACACCTGTAGCATTCTAGGGCTTCTTCCAAAAGTCCATCATTTCCTTCACCAAGATGTTCAGACTGGCAGGGTATCTGAAAACTGAAGGATGGTGAGAGAGATGGAAGCCCCCGGATCCCATACTCGAGAATCACCATAGCCTACTGCTATCTACTTTCCCTCAAACCCATCTCTAGGAGTCTCCAGCAGTAGAAAAGACAAGGTGTGGGGGGAAGCTTTTGCTTTTGCAAAATCACTATTCCTCCACGGAAAACTTACTATCTCTCTCTCTCTCAAAAAATAATAATAATAATAATAATAATAATAATAATAATAATAAGTAATGCTCCTTAATACAACAATTTGTATCTTCTCAATATTATCTGAAGTACCAATTAAATCATCCATAGAAAAATTTGCTATCTTTACTGGTCTTCAGTATAAAATTTAAGTTTAAAGCCCTAAGCTTGGTAAGTAGATGCAGTTTAGGGAAAGTTCCCTAGCTAGCTTCACCCCTTATTCCAACTAGATAGTGGCTGCCGAAGTCCCTGTCATATAGAATTCACAACGCACTTGGGTGGTTCACAGCCAGTGCTCATGCTCACACTAACCTTCACAGATCCGATGCAGCTTTCTCTACTCCTTCCTTTACCTCGCCACAAACTGCAACACCGAGCTACACAAGACAGGAATAAAGGCACTGGGTGCTTGCACCAGCACCCTGGACACAGATCCCAATACTCAACCTGTCGGAATTCAGACCCTTGTTATCAAACTTCCCTCCCAACATTCAGGTAAGCCTCCCCCACCAACGCAGGGCATCCAGTCACTAAAGCCCACCATTTTCTCTGCCAACACCACCGTGCAAATCCCTTCCACTGAAATGAGCAGGAAGCTGAACAGACATGAGCGGTCAGTGATTAGAGTCAGGGAGGAAGGAGCATCACAATCTCGATATTTCCCTCTTGAGACACCCCACCAGCTAAGCCCAAGGTTCCCCTCCACACACTAGATGGGGGGAGTGGGTTCGGGAGATTCAGTGGGAAGGCTCCTGATAATTGAATCCGCATTGTCCTTCACCCCTGGTTGCAGCTACTGGGGTTGCGGCGCGGCTGCCGCCCTGGGCCCCGCTCGTCCCAAGCCCTTACCTGCTCCGCTTTTCCTGGGCCCGATGCCAGCCTGCCTGCGCAGGGCAGCGGGGAGCTGGTACCCAGAAGGGTGTGATGACTGCACCGCAAGCTGCGTCGCTCTGCAGCTCTTGGTCACGTGAGGGCTTGCGTCACCAAGGAGCTCTCGCGCTCCCACCCTCCCCCCGCCCTGCTCCCACTGGCCAGAGAGGAGTTTGACAGGGTCTTCCCCCCACTCCGAACGCAGAACTCCCCCTCCAAGTCTCTGCTGTACCTCCCTGTCACTCAGTTGGGTCCTCTCAAACCTGAGATCCTACAAGTGGCCTCACCTCCCTGCAGTTGGGATTTATTCTTCCTTGGTTACCTGCGAGGGTCTGCATCCCCCCACCCACTCCCAGGCCTTGACCAGACGCTTCTTTGAGGAATCCCTCTCCCTTAGACTATAGAAATGATGCTCCCCATCCAGTACCTTGTTGCACCAAACAAGGCTAAGAAAGGGCTGTCAGGAAAGGAAGCAGAGAGTGGAAGGAGAGGCTTAATTTTCTTCTTATGCTCCTTTTTTTTTTCTTTTAACATTGCATTCATTGTTTTTGTAAATCCGGAAATTCAGTCAAGCCATTTTCATTTGACATTTAGAAATGAGGTCGTAAAAATAACAAAAGACTCATTTTTTACATTATTTTTGCACCACATTAAAAAATGTTTTGTAGTTGCTACAAATGATTTCACAGTTTTCAAAACAGACTAGTAATTATTGACATTTTAAATACAAAATTTTCCTAAACAAAATTAACAAGTTTTTAATGTGATCTATAAATTAATCTTTTGGAAAGACACTCAGTTTTCTAATCTTGGCAGATTTCCACAAGTGATTTACAGTCTGTTGAAGTTCTGGCTGAACTTAAGCTCTTGTGTCAGGTGTCTGAGAACTTCTTCATATATGACTCCTGGATGATTGAATAAAGATCCAGCTCCAGATTAGCCTAGTGCCTGAAAACTAGTGATTTCCTTGATCTACCAGTTTTCCATTCAAGAGGTTTTATTTGAAGTTTTCACATAAGCATGTGGTCAAAGTAGTCTGTCTCATCACACCCTGGACCAACTGCTTACCCCACTGATGGAAATGAGGCTTAGTATGTGGAGTTTTCATTTAATCATGATGCTGGTGTGTTATCTCCGCTATCTGTCATTCGTGTGCTATATTACCCTAGCAGTAGTTAGTGTTTAGCATGTTCCAGTAGAGGTAGCAGTGAGTTTGTGGTGTCTGTAAATTACTGCAACACCTCAGAGACGAATGTCATTTTTCCCTCACAGAAAGCACAGTTTATGAGAGCCCAAGCAGTTTCCAGGTAAAAGAAGCCTTTTGTTACAATTTCACTGCACCACCCATTCAAACCCTTCAGAATAATCCCAGAATTTAGGGACAAAGTATGCAGAAATTAGTCTCTAGACATCCAGCTGTCCCCACTGGGGAGTCATACCCTAAATATAGACCATTCAGGCAGCCTCTTTCTTTGAACTTTGAAATATGACACCCCAGCAGGAAGCTCCTCACGTGAAAGGCCCCTGTGTGTAGGAGGGCCCCTCTAGGAGGTGAGCCAGGAGCCCAGAGTGACATAGAAATTTATTCATGGCTTTTCAGAAGTCAATTGCCCATGACTAACTTATGTTCTTCACCCAAGGGAAAGATTCAGAAATCAATTAAATAAACATTTAAAACTTCAGTAAGGTAAACAAACAAACAAAGCCCCAAGCATAGGATGTCAAATGGCTAATTTATAATAATCAAAAAACTCTTACAAATCACTAATAAAATAATAAACAACTTGATAGAAAAATATGCCCATGACTTGAATGGGTTTATTCACAGAAAAGAAATATAAATTATTGATAAAAATATGAAAAGACACTCAATTTCAAAGAAATGCACGTCGAAACAACTATGTATTACTATGTTTCAGCTAGGAGTTTGTAAAAATTTAGAAATGTGATGATATTGTTGACTGGTTTGTGGGGAAATTGGTACTCCCATACTCTGTTGGAGGGAGATACTCTGATAAAATCTTTTACCGGAGAGCAATTTGTCAAAATCAATTGAATAGTAAATACAGGGTGGCACAAAAGTAGGTTTACAGGTGTTCATATCGAAAATAATACAATAATTAAGAAGTATGAGGCGGGGGCAGGTAAGCGATTAACCAAAGGACTTGTATGCATGCATATGAGCATAACCAGTGGACAGAGACAGTAGGGGGGTGAGGGCATGTGCTAGAGGGTGGGAGCAGCCAGGGAGAGGTCAATGGGGGGAAAAG